TCCTCCTCTTCCTCCTCACTCAGCTCTTTACTCAGGGCTGATCTGTCACTGATACGCTCAGTCTCTCAGCTGAACCAGGTTCTCAGAATTAAATGTCACCACATGAGCCTGGACCTGGGTGTGTGTTACAGACATGAGTGTGTGTGTGTGTGTCTGTGTGAGAAAGAGATTAAACTCCTACATGTGTGTGTGTGTGTGTGTGTGTAGGGCGGGTCTCCCCTGGTGGCTGAACCTTTGGCCCTCCCCCCCACACACACACACACACACACACACACACGAACATGTTCTATTTTCTCAGTCTATTAATTCCATGGTTCTGTTTGTAGAACCTTCCAGAACCTTCAAACACTGAGGTGTTGACCATGATATATGTGCAAATACATGTCAACACATTAGTGGTGTTTGTCTCTGTGACGACCTGACACTCGACCTTTGACCCTGTGCCTGGATACTGATGAGGACTTTTTATTTGTTTGTCGTTGCCGCGGCTAAAGTCCCAGATCTGATTCGTTCAGTTTTTGTCCAATCAGAACCACGGCTCAGACCAACACTAACTCTCTGACCCACAGGTACGTCCACGCCCTGTACCTGGGCGTCCAGAGCCGCTGGCACAGGGACCCTGAGCGTCGTCACTACTACTGGCGCATGATGTTCGAGAGCGCTGACATCAGTATGCTGCGTTTGCTGGAGTCGTTTCTGAAGAGCGCCCCCCAGCTGGTACTGCAGCTGAGCATCATGATCCAGAGCAGTCAGGTGCTGCCGCTTCAGGGTGAGTGGGCCGACCTCACCCGTCACAAAAAAAAACAAACCTGTCAATCATTCGTCTGCTGCCCACACCATGACTCACTACTGCCTCCTTCAGTCTGTCACCCCCACAGCAGGGACACGTCTCCGAAAAAACCTTCTGTGATTTTTTTTTTCTGTCTTCTCTGTGTCTGTCGCCGTCCACAGGAATCTCAGCCTCCGCCTCACTGATATCCCTGGCCTGGATGATCTCCTCCTACCAGAAGGTTCTGCGTGATTCCAGGGACGACAAGCTGCCGATGACCTACAAGGCCGTGGTCGTTCAGATCCTCTGGCACTTCTTCACCATCGGGGCCCGCGCTCTGGCCTTCGCCCTGTTCGCCTCGGTGTTCCAGCTGTACTTCGGCATCTTCATCGTGGCCCACTGGTGCATCATGACGTTTTGGATCATCCAGGGTGAGACCGACTTCTGCATGTCCAAGTGGGAGGAGATCATCTACAACATGATGGTGGGCATCGTCTACATTTTCTGCTGGTTCAGCGTGAGGGAGGGGCGCACCCGCTGCCGAATGTTCATCTACAGCCTGACTGTGTTGGCCGAAAACGCGGCTCTGACCACCGCCTGGTTCCTGTTTCGCGGCACCTCGGATTTCTACGCCGTGATCCTGGTGTGCGTCGTGGCCACCAGCTACGCTCTGGGCACCTTTTTCATGTTTGTGTATTACTGTCTGCTGCACCCCGACGGGCCCGTCTCAGGCTGGGGCTACGCCGCCGAAAAAGAGGCGCCGCTGGAGTCTTTGGCCTCACCCGTCTCCAGCCTCCCCCCTGACCTGGTCAGCAGCCCCCCCAGAACCCTGCAGAGAACTAAAGGGTCAGAGAGGGATGGGCCCGGGGTGGACGGAGACGTCTTTCAGGTACGACCTCCGCGGGGAGCGCAGGCGCCGCTGCACCACCTCACCCCCAGGACGGAGGGGCCCGTTATCCGAATAGACCTTCCCAGGAAGAAGTACCCGGCCTGGGACGCCCACTACATCGACCGCCGGTTGCGTAAAACCATCCTGGTGCTCGAGAGCGCCGCCCCAGTGACGCCCAGAATCCAGTACCGATGTCTGGGCACACCCAAAGAAGTGATGGAGTTTGAGACGACCGTCTGATGCGTTCCAGGCGCCGGGCCGCGGCTTCCTGCCAACACTGACTCCCTCTCGGGTGGAGGACTCACTGAGTCAGTTTCAGCTTCCTGATTGGCTCTTTCTACCTTCAGGAATCGGAGACGTTCGACGACAGAGTGCGATGACTTTCTTCCTTTGGACTAGGGCGAATCTGTGTGATGTAAGCTGATAACGGTGAATATTTTAGTTTCTGTATCATTTCTCAGGTCAGGATGTGGTACAGGAAGAGCTGGGCAGCAGCTCGGCTGAACTCAGAGAGGAGCACGGGACGGAGGAGGAGGAGGAAGAGGAGGAGGAGCAGCTGTGTGACGATCAGGGAGGAGGAGGAGGAGGAGCTGTGTGACGATCAATCAGAGGTACAAAGCCCTCCTGCTCCGAGGAGGTGCTTCAGAAGGAGAGGCGAGCCTTCAACATGCATGATTACTTATGGCAGCTAGAACTCAGAAGAAAAAAAACGACGAAGTGACAGGAGAGGGCGGCGGGAGACAATGTCAGATGTTAAAATCATCCTTTTTTTTTACCACAATCTCAGAATAAAACACACGGGGGCGCCGATCATTGTTTCCCCATAGCTTTTCAGTCATGTTGAAGGATTCTCTCTGCTTCAGATCAAAAGCATCATTTGAGTTGAATGTAAAATCTGTTGAGACTGGTGACTTGTTATGACACTTAAGAGTACGCCATTGTTTCCCAAAGACTGGGTCGCGACCCTCAGGTGGGTCGCAAGAGATTTGTTTTTGGGTTTTTTTGGGGTCGCCTCACATCATGTTTCCCAGGAGTTTACGAATATTGTCGATTGACTTGGGTCGCGAAGGTTTGTGACTTTTAAAAGTATGGGTCGCCAGAAAAAAATTTTGGGAAACACTGGAGTACGCTCACGCTCACGTTCACGCTGTTCGTAGGATTTACCACATTCCTCTGGTTCTACTCATAAATACTTGTCCTTGGTACAAAAGCTGGAACAGAACTGGGTTTGTTGGTGTTTACAGAAAATCTGCTGCAGTTTTTCTTCCTGTTTTTTATACAACCCTCCACTACGATCATGAACAAATGGATCATTTCACAACAGGTATACGTACGGTGTGTGTGTGTGTGTGTGTGTGTGACAGCTGAGGTGGAGGTGAGATGAGGTCAGCACCGTCTGTTTTGTTTCTACTGTCTCCAGTCTTTGTTGTGAGAAAAAAATGTAAAGATTAAAAATATAAAAGGACTCAGGAGCACAGACCGTAGATAAGAAGTGGACTCTGGTGGTTACAGACGTGAGAAACTGGATGAAAAGTGCTGTTTGTTTCCAAATAGAAGTTGACGTTAAATACTGTGTGTGATTGACAGCTGAAGCAGCCAATAGAACGTTGACAGTAGGGTGTCAATCACACGAACGAAAATTTCTACACTTTTTACATTTTATCTTCAAACCTGGCAACCCGTTCTATTTAATTGTTATTGGAGTGTTGGAGTTTAACCTGGAATCTGGATGTAAAAAAAAAAATCAAATCTGAAAATTTAAAACCACTTAAAAATACAGTAATGCAAAAAATCAATAATATTTTATTATTTGATTTTAAGATAAAAAAAAAAATCAAATCTGAAAATTGAAAATTACTTAAAAATACAATAATGCAAAAAATTACATTTTATTATTTGATTTTAAGAAGATTTTTAAATTCCATAAATTCCATAAACTCTCGGGGTGTGTTAGGTCAATAATCTGGCGATACGATACGTATCACGATACATGGATGACGATACGATATATTGCGATACTATAGTCACGACGTAGTCCCAGTGTGATCCTAGTCTGAGACTCTGTTCCATCTGAACATCAGTTCCTAACTCTGGAACAGAGGGATCTACATTTGGAATCACTAGAGAAGAAAGAAAAGAAAAAGAAAATGAACCAACACCAGGAATATTGGACTGAGAATTGGTGAGAAAAAATCAATAACTGATGGAGGAGGAGATTGATACGAGATCAGGAAATTAAATAGGGAGATATTCCAGTGCATTGATATTTTCTTACACCCCTAATAAATGCGACTTCCATGGGGTGGAGGGAAACTCTTCAGGAAACGTTGTTCCGTCCACGTTCCTCCTCCTGAACTCCAGACCAATGACCTCCAACGTCAGCACGTCTTCAGTTTCCAGGTTCAGTTTCCAGACCTGGACCTCAGACTTGTGCTCGGTCTCTGCTCCTGACAGAGTAGCGTTGATGTGTTGTTGAAGGATCCGGCATGTTCTACTGTTGGTGATACTTTATTGTACAGGTGCTTTACTCCCTCCAGACCTCCTCAGACCTTTGATGAAAAAGAGAACAAAAAAAAGAAAAAGAAAAGTACAAACTTTGAACTCCTGCTTTAAAAGCAGACGTTTGAAAGAAAGACGACGTCGACGTTTCAGTGTCCAGGACTTTCGGTCTGACGACCAGCAGAACTGTCTCTGGACCTGGTCTGTGTTGGGACGTTTGGGAGTCCACAGAGTCCAGGTCGGTTTGTATTAGTACTTGAACTAGAGAAGAAACGTCGGCGGGTTTGGGAGGAGGAGATGGTGGAAAAAAAAAAGAAGAAAAGAAGAAGAAGAGCTCATCGTTATCGTAAATCACTTGTTTTAGTGTTTTTTTTACCGACAGATTTTATGACGTTTCGCTGCTCGTCTCCGTCGAACTTCACTGTAAATTTGATATCAGATATTTGATGACAATTTTAAATTGTGCTTTATTTATTTATTTATTTATTTATTTATTTATTGGATTGAATGAGGAAACGAGCACCTGCAGGTGATACTGGGAACTTCTGGCTCTGATTTTTTAATTCAGAATTTGGGGGTTTTGTTACAAGATAAAAAATGACCTTAATGGTAAAAATGAATAAAATGCCTTTTTTTTGCAGGAAACCCATCATCCAGTATTTCTGGGGGATTTTTGTTTTTTGTTTGTTTGTTTTTTAAATAAATGTTACAAGAACGTTCATGTTTTGTGTATGAGTGTGTGTGTGTGTGAGAGAGAGAGAGAGCTCACGTTCCAGCATGTGTATGAGTGTGTGGTGTGTTAGTGTGGTGTACGGGTACGTGGTAGGACATGCTGGCTTGGATGCTGTTTTTTAGTTGATATGAGGCAGTCTTGTTTTAAACACTGTCAGCTCATTGGTCGCTCCTTCAGCCCACAGACCACGCCCACCACAGCAGGAACACCGTCGACGCTACGGCCAGCAATGGTGCTAACCGCTTTGACTCCATCGTGTGATTACGAAAAACCATCAGAGGGTCATGTGGTGGTGTGACTGGATGGGGGTTTGGGTGAGGAAGGGGGGGAGGGAGAGGAGGAGGAGGGCTGAGTGGTCAACACAAACACAAAGATTTAAAAAATATAAGATCTTAAAAGCCTTAAAACCTGGTAAAACCAGACTGTTGCTGGTCCAGTTGACGAGGTGAAGACGAACTCAATGTGTTGTTGTTGTTACGACAATAAAGACCGAGGTGTTTTCCTGACATCTGTCCTTGTCTTTTTTCAACCAATGGCTGAGGCCCACATTAATGTTGGACTCAAAGTTTTTATGTACTACGTGGAAAGGTTCTGGGTTCTGGGTTCCAACCTAGGATCAGGGGCTAGGTGAGGCCCCTGATCCTAGGTTGGGTTGTTTCAAAAAGAAAACCCACTTTTGAACCCAAATCACTGTGGTACTGTGGTGATAAAAACTCAACCATACACACTCATTACATTTGTTTAATTATAAAAAAAATCAAAAGATATTCAATTGTTTTTCAAACTAATTCAATTGTTTTTCATAATTAAATATCGTCATTTTAAAAGAACCAGTTTAAAGGGCGCTATTTTAAACACGGGATTAATGCTTCTGTTGACATTAAACAAATCCAATATAAGCGTCTGGAATATTCTTGCATAATATGCATTTCAACCAATCAGCAGCGAGTATCTAGGAGCCGAGGCGCGTCACGAATAACAATGAGCTCAACAGCCAATCAGAAACCAGAGGGGGAGGGTTCGCCGTGTGTACCGGTCTCTGGCTGCCTCCGCGTTCTCCTCCAGTCACATTTCAAACTAGCATGGCGACCGCTCTCTGCGGCGGTCAGTCCACTGGTAGCCACAGCAAACCGACCAGGAACCACCGGGAACAGCGGCGGAAAGCCAAGGACTCCAGGCGGAGGCAGGCGGCCCTGCACTTCCTGAATAATATCTCACTCGATGGCCGACCTCATTGTCACGTCAACCGCGGAAATGCCGAGCACAAAGCCGCGCCGGAGCCGCCGCTCAGGGACAGAGACGACGCCGTCGCCGCAGCAGGGCTGCCGCCTGATGGTTCATCACCGGTGGCCCAGGTGTCGGAGGCCACGCTGTCCCC